TTTTTCTTTTTTCTCTTTTTTTTTAATTTGTTTTTTTCCCTTTTACTACGGCCGTGAGAAGGGCGACGGCTATTATGGCCACAAGGGCGACGGCTACAATGGCCACGAGAAGGGCGACGGCTACTATGGCCACAAGGGCGACGGCTACTATGGCCACGAGAAGGGCGACGGCTACTATGGCCACGAGACGGGCGACGGCTACTACAGCCACAAGAAGGGCGACGGCTACTACGGCCACAAAGGCGGCGGCTACAACGGCCAGGAGTGGCGTGGCCGCGACAAGGGCGACGGCTACTACGGCCACAAAGGCGACGGCTACAACGGCCACGGGAAGGGCGACGGCTACTACAGCCACGAGAAGGGCGACGGCTACGACAGCCACGACAAGGGCGACGGCTACTACAGCCACAAGAAGGACGGCTACGGCGGCCACAAGGAGGACGGCTACGGCGGCCACAAGAACGGCGACGGCAAGGACGGGGGCGGGGGCGACGGCCCCCGCCCCCGCGGGGGCAAGCACACCCGCCTCGCCAAAGCGTCGGCCGTGCGGGAGTACCTGCAGGGCTTGAGTGACCTGTCCGAGCAGGACCAGAAGTACGCGGCCTGGAGCCGCCGCACGCAGCCGCAGGTGTGGCTGAAGGCGGTCGCCGACTACGCTGCGGCGACCGCAGCGGGCTCAAGCTCCGTGTGATCACGGGGCACACGTCGGCGACCACCGTGTCGTCGTCGTGGTCGTGGTCGCGGTCGTCGTCGTCGTCGTCGTCGTCGTCGTCGTCGTCGTCGTCGTCAGCGTTGTCGTCGTCGTCGTCGTCGCGTGGTCGGCGAGGCGTGCCCCGTCGGAAGGGGTTGAGGCTCCCACGGCGGCGACTCAGCACAGGAGTTGCCGCCGAAGCTGCGGGGGTGCACAGCAGCTGAGGGCTGCCACGAATACGGATTAAGAATCGTCGCAGAGGGTACCGCTGTCAAACGACACGGGTGTCGTCTTTGAGAATCTCAAAGACGACAACGTGTCGTCTTTGAGAATCTCAAAGACGACACGCGTGTCGTCTTTGAGAATCTCAAAGACGACAAAATCTCTATTATATTTGATATTACCAACGTGTCGTCTTTGAGAATCTCAAAGACGACACGCGCGTCGTCTTTGAGAATCTCAAAGACGACAACGTGTCGTCTTTGAGAATCTCAAAGACGACGCGCGTGTCGTCTGACAGTGGTACCCTCTGCGACGCTTCTCGGTCCACCTTCAGAGGTGTTCATCGCATCGGTCGTGAGGCCTTTGGACGATCGCTGAGCAACGCGTCGCTCCCGCTCAGCGTGATCGCTCCGCTTCTCTGAGCACTTTTCGGAGGCTCACGATCGACGGCGAAACGATCGACCTCCCCCCTCCTCCCTCTCATCCCTTCCTCCTCCTATTCCTCCTCCTCCTCCTCATCCTTTGCCTCCCCCTCCCCCTCCTCCTCATCCTGCTTCCTCCTCATCCGCCTCCGCCTCCTCCAGTTCCATCCTCCTCCTCGTCCCCCTCAGCATCCTGAGGTGTCCTGAGGTGTCCTGAGGTGTCCCGAGGTGTCCTGAGGTCTCCTGGGGTTGTCAGCTCAGAGATGCCCTGAGGTGTCCTGAGGCGCCCTGGTGTTGTCATCTCAGAGGTGTCCTGTGGTGTCCTGAGGTATCCTGAGGTGTCCTGAGGCGTTGCATTCGCCGTCGTCGTCGTCGGCGTCCGCCGTCGTCGTCGCCGTCGTCGTCGTCGCCGTCGTCGTCGTCGTCATCCTGCATCGTCGTCGTCGCCGCCGCAGTCGTCGTCGTCGTCCGCCGCCTTCGTCGCCGCCGACGTCGTCGCCGTCGCCGTCGTCGCCGTCGTCGTCGTCGCCGTCGTCGTCGTCGTCCTGCATCGTGGTCGTCGCCGCCGCAGTCGTCGTCGTCGTCCGCCGCCTTCGTCGCCGCCGACGTCGTCGCCGTCGCCGCCGTCGCCGCCGCCGCCGTCGCCGCCGTCGTCGTCGCCGTCGCCGCCGCCGCCGCCGCCGTCGCCGTCGCCGCCGTCGCCGTCGCCGCCGTCGCCCTTATCATCCGCATCGGCTGCGCCGTCTCACCGCCGCCCATCATCCCCGCAATCGCGACCCTCATGGTCCTCGCGAAGGTTCGCGACGCGGTCCTGGCCCTCGCGAATGTTCGCGATCGTGGCGACCTGGCTCGCAATAGTGGCGGTCTGGCTCTCGATCGTGGCCTTCTGAGCTTCGATCGTGGCGTCGTTGCTCTGAATCTGCTCAATCAGCCATTTGATGTAATCATCGCGCTGCTTCAGGGCGCGATCAACCACGGAGACGATCACACGGCGATGATCATCAGCCGACTCGAGCTGCTGGTTCATATCAGCAACCATGCGGTCCGCCGTATCCTCGACGGGGCCGCTCCGCCACGATCCACCACCAGCATAAGCCGAGGGCGAGCCGTCACCAATTGACGCCAATCCGGGCGGGGAGGTCGACGGTGGGCGGGCTGGGCTGATAACCGTTCTGTACCAACATATACGGAGGATGGCGAGGAGGATGAGGACGAGGATACCAATGAAGACGAGGACGGGGGTGGTGGAGATCACGCTGCTCAGACAGCGATCGCACATCGTCGACGGATGCGATCATCGTCGCAGCGTTCTGGCACAGATCGCGCCCGTCTCTCTTCTCTATAGCCACAATGCCGCGCATGCATGAAGATATCAAAGCACTCCGAGCCCTGCGTCGCCATGAGAATAGACTGTTTAGGAACCAGCAGCTTGACACCGCCATCAAGCACAAGGCCAACAGCCTCAAGACGGCGAAGCAGATGGACCGCAAGGCCACCTTGTCGCCGCGCCGCGCGCTGTCGGTACACGCTTGCATATGCATGCAGGTATGATATTGTTGTTTGGTGCGGTGTATGTACACTAGAAGAGCGGTGTGATATGATAGTTCTGGGCTAGGTTGTGGGGTGTGTCTGTTGTCGGCGTGATCCCGCCTGGTTGTGCGTCTCACGGCGGGCGTGGTGACGCCTATCGCCACACCTATTCCGCCCCCCCCCCCCCTCCCACACCACCATCCCTCCGACATGCCCCGCCCGTTCGGTTTGAGGTGATGCAGTGCCTCAAGGCGTACGAGAAGGCAAAGAAAAAGGCCGAGGACGCCGAGTGCGCTTGGCTGCAAGCGCGCGAGCACGCTGTGGACTTGCATGGGCAGCACGATCGGGCAAGGAAGCTGGTAATCGACACAGGGGGCTTGTGCAGAGCACGGGGGCGCAAGGCCTTAGGCTTCGACGCGTGAGTGCGTGGATGCGCAATTAGGACCGAGTGTGTAAACACCGTTTCCCAAGAGTTGTGCCTGTCGCGGGGAGGGCGGGCGCTTCGCCGCATGCGCTAAGAAAACAATGCCTGGATCGAGCTCGTCGGGGCAGCGTTGCAACCATTGCAAATCTGGGGTCAATTGTTAGGGGGGAGTGGGAGATGTGTGGCTTCTCGGCTCAGTTGCAATCGGTTTTGCACAAGTTATCGGTTCAATTGTGGAGGGGCAATGTGCAAGTCCCGCAAGACGATCGCGATGGATGCCCAGGCTCGCCAGGACTGGAAGGAGGACAAACATGTCAGGCCGATCAGCGCTAACACCACCAAGGTAGCATGCAAGGCCGAGTTCTTGTGTGCATCGAAGAAGGTGGCCTCGTGTGTGAAAACACGTTAGACATTCATTGCAATGACATTAGCCACCGCACTAGCAATTGCAATTGCACTTCTTTTTATTTTGTTTTTTTTTTTTTTTTTTTTGATTTCTTCTGTGTCTCTTTTATTTTTTCTTTTTTTTTTTTTTTTTTTTTTGAATTTTTTTTTTTTTTTTTTTTTTTTTTTTTGAATTTTTTTCTTTTTTTTTTTATTTATTTTTTTATATTTTAGTTTTCGCCCTCACTCGCTTCCCCTTTTTTTTTTTGAGTGTTTTTTTTTTTTTTTTTTTTTTTTTTCTTTTTTTTGAATTTCGTCATTTTTTTTTCGTTTTTTGTCTTTTTTGAATTTTCCTTTTCTCTGTTTTTTTTGTTTTTTGTTCTTTTTTTGAATTTGGTGGCATTGAATGCCTGTGCCCTGTACATGTGTGTTTTGTTTTAGCGCACGATTCCCAGGTTCTCGAGAAGTTCAAGAAGTTCGAGGCCGCCAAGAAGAAGATGGGGGAGGCCAAGAGCGAGTGGATGGAGTCGATCGGTGATCGCATCGATGCCCACGCTGAGTGGGAGAACGCGTGCGAGCAGCACGCGAGCATCAAATCAGGGCGCATGCCGCGCTGATGGGGCCGTGTCGGGCGAGGCTTCGCAAGTGCGATGATGTGTTCAGGTTCGCAATGGTCCACGTCAAATGATCAGTGGTCACGCCAATCATGCCTTACATATGATTAGCATGCCGAGCAAGGGGGTGGACCCATCCAAGTCAGCGTTTGTCAAGCTGCGCCCAGCCGTGGCGACGACGATGGCTGACCCCCCCCCGCCCCCCGAGAGGACTACCACCCCCCCGAGAGGACTACCAACCCTCGCGCTGTTGGTTTGTTCGACACCCCTGTTGACCTTTGCCTCATCGCCAAGCGTGCACGCGTCATCGTCGTGGGCTCCGTAACCAATTTGGCTCAAACAGTTTTGCGAAATTACATATCGCTTTCTGCTGCGTAGCAGCAATGACGTCGATACGTGATGTGCTGGCCGAACTCAATCATATGATTGATTGGCATCATACCCAAGTCGGCTGCGGACTCGACGCAAAGACATGCGCCGACAACCAGATGCAGTCGCTGTTGTCGAGAGTTCGATCCTTCGGAACGATCAGCACTGACGACGCTACGCTCTTGGTGGGCACAATTCGGGACAATGCGCTCCCAGACTGGTCCCCTGATCAGATTGCAGAAATCTGCACGGCGGTAGGGCAGAAGACGGGCGTGCTAACCAGCACCGCAGATATGAAGTGGCAGAATGTAACTGCATTCTCGCGCTTCCTTTCGGCGCCTGAGGCGACGAAGTTAAAGAGCGGCGACATGTCGCAGAAGGCGATGATCGCCATGGTGTGCAAGAGGGCCCATGCGATCGGTATGTACACTCTGTCCGAGGGGAGCAAGGGTCAACTCGCAGCGGTGGTATCGTCCCAACTCACTGGCGTTACCAACGACATGTGGTACGACATTCTGGTGCAGGTCAAGCTGAAGCTGGCTACCATGAAGGCGCGAGACTGGAAACACCGAACTATATGGGAATACGATTCTCCAGACTCCCTCGAGAGCGAATCGTGGTACTATACAGCGTACCCCGAGGGAGACCCGCCACGCGGGCAGGACTGGTACATCGACGAGCCCGACTTCGTGCGACTGAGCAGTCGCCTGATGAAGGGCGGCAAGCACGCGGCCAAGCAAGTGCGGGACGACCGCCCCGCCCCGCCGCCGCCGACCGCCCCGCCTCCCGCCATTGGCGACTTCGGCGCCTACAAATCCATGTACGGGGCGATGAACGCGTACCATATGTACGCTCATCCAGGAATGGTGCCTCCGCCAGGGATGGTGCCTGGCCAATCGTCACACTCTTGGTCGCCTCCGCCAGGGATGATGCCGAGGCCCTAGGCGCCACCGCAAGATGCGCCCTCACCACAGGAGGCGCCCCCGCCTGCGGCCCCACCGGCCGCGGGAGGAACGCCCGCCCCGCTCGGCGACTTATCTGATGAGGAGGCAGCGCTTCGCAAGACAGTGCGCAACCGTAAGGAGGCCGTGGCCCTGAATAAACGTGCAGCAGCTGCTGGGGGCGATGCCGATGGCGTCGAGGGCGCCGACGACGATGGCGACGAACTCGCCGACGAGGAGGGGGGCCCGCCGAAGAAGGTCATGAAGGGCGCCCCGCCGAAGAAGGCCATGAAGGTGGCCATGCGGAGGCCCTCGGCGAAGCCGAAGCCGCTGCCCAAGGCCCCGATGACGGGGGCCCCGAAGGTCGAGTACCGCGCGGGGTATATACTCACGCAGCCAGACAAGTCCCAGTACAGGGCTGTCCTGGGGCGGTCAGACAGGCGCATCCGCTGGGGCACGGGCAGCACGCGCCAGGAGGCTTTCACCAAGGCGATGAAGTGCATAGACGAGCGCTCGTAGCCGCTTGTCTGCTCTGCTCAACGCCGATCGCGACTCCTCGTGATTTGTTGCGCTGTCCTATAACGCTTGTGTGCATTGTTCATGTATGTCTGCATGGTGCAATGTAAACTGCAAGTCGTTGTTCCATCATATGCGAGGGGCACCCGTCGCACAATCCTCTGTTGCGATTGCAGATGTCGCATTCATGCTACCATCACTCAGTATCAGTTTTGGCTCAAGCCACGTCGGCGGGGCCACCGAAGCGTCGCAAGACAGACGCCGAAGCACTGATTGAGTTACACAGGGGCCCATATGTATCTGAGCGGAGTCTTTCATACATTCTCAAGTACGTACGAGATAACGGTATACCAGATAACATTTCGCGTTATGCGCAGTGCAGCGCAAGACAGAAATTAATCGGTGCCGAATCGAACCAGTACGGTGACGTGCTTGTCGGCATTGATATGCCATTGAACAGCGGTAAGAGCTTCAAGAACTTGGCGCGCGCCCCTGGCTCGTACTTGTACTCGACGGCGAAACGGAGCAAGGGGTTCAGAGATCTGTTGCGCCGCCAGCTCGCCAAGCACCCGTGCTCCCTAGCATCCCCATGGCGCATCTGTTTATATTTCGACGGTATCTCACCGCGTGACCCGTTGGCCAAGGGCAAGGACCACCGAGGGGTGGATGCTGTATACTGGTCGTTTCTAGAGTTCGATGAGTTCTTGCAGGACGAAGACGCATGGCTCGTGCTCAGCACCGCTCGGGTTTCCAAAGTGAGGGACATGCCTGGAGGGATCGGGCAGTCGGTTGCAATGACGTGCAACGAGCTCATGTTCAATACGTCTGGCGGGGTGAACTTTCGTACGACTGGAGTTATCTTGGGCGTGTCAGAAGCAGGGGATGCCACAAGGCACGCGACTATAATCGCGAGGTTGGGCTGCACTGTGGGCGACGAAGAAGCCCTCCGTGAATTCCACATGAACAAAGGGCACGCGGGCACCAAACCGTGTGCCATCTGCGGGAACGTGCTCAACCAGAAGTTCGACTATGCGTCGCACGACACGTCTGGTACATTTATATCGGACGCATGCCTCGACAGAAGCAAACGCGTCGTCAACGCAGACGCGCAGATCGTTGCTATCTTGGAAAGGCTACGCCCCGACTGGGAGAGGTACGACCGCGGTGAGATTAGCGACAACAAGTGGAAGGATATCACGCAGCTGAAGGGTTGGAACTTTCATCCGACGCACGTTGCCTTGGACGCCAACCTCGCCTACGGTGTCATGTCGCTCCTCTGCTTCGATTGGATGCACATCTATTGCGTCAACGGCATCGTAGCTAAAGAAGTGAAAGCTTTCACTGAGAACAAGGCGATTGGCAAACTCTGCAGCGCCGAAGATCTCAACGACTATCTTTCAAACTGGACATGGCCCCACAAGTTTCATGCCGCCAATGCCGTGTTCGCACAGGGCGAACTACAAGCAAACGCATCGCAAGAGCTGTCTATGATCCCCGTGCTGGCGCGCTTCATCAGGCAAGTCATTGCCAAGCTGCCTGATGCAGGCACCATTTCGGGTCATATTGCAAGTTTACTTGCACTGTGCGATGCCATTGATATGGTTATTCTCTCGTCCAGGGGCCTCGCGACTGCACGTGAGCTGGATGTCGCCGCGATGAAGCATTTGGAGCTACACACGCGCACATACGGGACTAAATATTGGGTTTACAAACACCATATGGCAACTCATCTTGCCGACATGTACTTCAAAGTCTGACCCTTGAACTGCTTCGTCCACGAGCGGAAGCACAAAGTTTGCAAGAAGTTTGCAAAGGACCATCTGTGCATGAGGACCCCCGAGAAGTCATTGATGATGCAGCTCGCGGCGCAGCGCAGTTACGACATGGAGCACTTCAGCATCTCAACGACGCTGGTCGACCCCGTAGCCGCCACCAAGAAGCTCATGGGCGTCTTGAAGGAGTTGCGTCCGCAAACGCAATCGGCATCATCGAGCCTCACGGCGTGGACCAAGTACGGGCCGATCCATAGAGGAGACATATGCTTGCTGGGACGTGCTGCAGGACATGCAGCCGTGCAGGTCTGCTTCCATGTAGATTGTGACACAGAGACTGCGCCCTCAGGGCCTCTATGCTTAGTCTTGGAATTGCAGACTCGGCACGTGCACAGCGCAGATTACTATTCTAGGTACTCCATAGACGAAGATAATAATCCCGTGCTCATTCCTTTGGACTCGCTGAGGCACCCTGTGATTAACGGGCGTCTCGGCGATGCAATCACTTGCATTTGGCCAGTTGAGTATCGCAAATTGGAATGCTGACGCGTTTGCGATGTAGAAGTATACATCTTCACATCAATGAATACATATTCAAAGCATCCCGCAAGAAACACAACATCGAAGTTGAAACGACATTGAACGCCCCAAAATCGAGTATATGTTAGCCGAAAAAATATCATGTTATCCGAAATAAATCAACATGCTAACTTTTATAACTGAGTTATAACTAAGTTATAACTCCGCCTAACAGTTACTAACTTCAAATGCCTTCAGGGGGGTCCCAAAAACAGAGGGTCCAAGGGGTGGGGATGCCGGGGCATGGGAGGGGCATGGGAGGGGCATGGAGGAGGGCATGGAGGGGGGTGTTGGTCGAGTTTGGGCGAGAAATCGTGGGATGGGGAGCCCCAAAAACAGAGGCTCCAAAAGGTGGGGATGCCGGGGCATGGAGGAGGGCATGGAGAGGGGTGTTGGTCGAGTTTGGGCGAGAAATCGTGGGGTGGGGGGTCCCAAAAACAGAGGCTCCAAGAGGTGGGGATGCCGGGGCATGGAGGAGGGCATGGAGGGGGGTGTTGGTCGAGTTTTGGGCGAGAAATCCGCGGGGTGGGAGTCCCAAAAACAGAGGTCCAAGGTGTACTGTTGGGGATGCCGGGGGCAGGGGTGGCATGAGGGGCATCGAGGGGGGTGTGGTCGAGTTGGGCGAGAAAATCGCGGCGGGTGGGGGTCCCAAAAAACAGATGGTCCAAGGGGGGGGATTGCCGGGGGCATGGGAGGGGCATGGGAGGGGCATGGAGGGGGGTGTTGGTCGAGTTTGGGCGAGAAATCGCGGGGTGGGGGGTCCCAAAAACAGAGGGTCCAAGAGGTGGAGATGCCGGGGCATGGAGGAGGGGCATGGAGGGGGGTGTTGGTCGAGTTCGGGAGGAGGGCATGGAGGGGGGTGTTGGTCGAGTTTGGGCGAGAAATCGCGGGGTGGGGGGTCCCAAAACGCCCCCTATCAAGGCCGGTGGGGATGCGGGCATGGGAGTGGCATGGGGGGCATGGAGGGGGTGCGGTCGGAGTTGGGCGAGAAATCGCGGGGTGGGGGGTTGTCCCAAAAAAACAGAGGGTCCAAGGGTGTGGGGATTGCCGGGGCATGGGGAGGGGCATGGGACCAATCCTCGCACTATAGGCATTGGAGGGGGGTGGTTGCATCGTAGTTTTGAGGCGAGAGAAATCGCGGGGGGGGGTCCCAAAAAGAGAGGGTCCAAGGGGGTGGGTCTGCCGGGGCATGGGAGGGCAGGGAGGGGCATGGCAGGGGGGGGTTGTCGAGTTTAGGGCGAGAAATCGCGGGGTGGGGGGTCCCAAAAACAGAGGGAAAACAGAGGGTCCAAGAGGTGGAGATGCCGGGGCATGGAGGAGGGGCATGGAGGGGGGTGTTGGTCGAGTTCGGGAGGAGGGCATGGAGGGGAGTGTTGGTCGAGTTTGGGCGAGAAATCGCGGGGTGGGGGGTCCCAAAAACAGAGGGTCCAAGGGGTGGGGATGCCGGGGCATGGGAGGGGCATGGAGGGGGGTGTTGGCCGAGCTTGGGCGAGAAATCGCGGGGCGGAGGCTGGCTGTCACAGGGGGGGTCGGGGAGGGCCCCGGCGAGGATGGCTAGGGACTGTGTGATGTGTGGGGACAACCTCGGATACAGCTGAGAAGGATTCCGCACACGCCTCATGGGGTCGGCGGATTTTGTTCAGGACTCACCCAGGGAGAGGTTCGGGGAGTAGCGGTATCGGTACCTTTTGGTTACCGCACATAGATCGAAGTCGGTTGGGGGAGGGTATCAATAGTGTTCTTCGTGATTGCCTGATGTTCTTGTGCATCCTTGGGAGGGTGCCCTTGGAGGTTCTCTGTGTGTGTGTGTTGGCCGGCGGATGGTCGCATGCTCTCGGAGGATGTTTTTTCTGTCCTAGGTCCGACTGTATGGTGCGCCGCTGTTCGAAGAAGATGGGGCAGAAGCGTGTTTACACGTTCGGAGCTCCACGCGGATGTCTTGCATCTCCGCTGGAACACCACTTGCTGACGGCGCTCTCCGGCCCGGCGCTGCGCGTTCCAGTGGGAGCCTGGAGCAGAGCCACGACATCCGCGCGGAGCTCCGAGAGTTTATGCCTACGGAGTGTATGTTTCTAGTCGGTGCGCGGCTCGGTGTGGAGCCCGATTTTCTCCACGCCGACGTCGCCGATGCATCGCCGACGTCGCCTATGCATCGGCGAGGCTCCGACCCCTTTTGGGCGGCCTCGAGTTGGAGGATGCCATATGCTCGGTGACAGGCGTTCGGGGGCTGCTGAAGGTACCCCTCGCCCCAGGTGCCACCAGCTCTCCGCTCAACTTGGGAGCCCCCTGGGACCCCTGGGCCTCGTGATGGGGTGCTCCAGAGGCCGTGGGGGCCTGTATGACGGGCTAACGGCGATGTAGGCAGTGGCGATGTAGGTAGTGGCGATGTAGGTGTGGCCCGCGCTCTCCTTCAATTCACTGTGTCGTGCTCGCTCGATCCATTCGCGGATTGGAGATGTAGGGACGTGTGGATCGTGATTCCCTACCAATTGGTCCCCCACATCGCCGTTGAGCAACATCGCCGTCAGCCCCGCTTTGGTGTGTGGCACCCTCGGCCAGGGGCACTTCTGGCAGCGCCCGAGGCGTGGGAGGGCCCACACCCCCGACAGGGGCCTCGCCTCTCCTCGATCGGGCCGAACGAAAGGGCGGGGATAGGGAACGGGGGGCTACGAAATCTGTTGCATGCAGCCGGTTTCGGCCCCGCCGCTGGGCCCCTTCCTCGATACATGTTCGCCTCCCGGCACTGGGAGGCGCTGGGAAAGTCAGCTGCGTGAGCTGATTCTCTACCCTACCCTTTGCTGTCCCCCCTTTCCCTGACCTTCCAGAGTGCTAAGAAATAGCCTTCAGACCAGTAAACCTATCTGGACTGCCTAAAACCTCGACTGGAATTAAGATGTCGAGGTCCTGGTGCTATTCATTAGCCCTCCTGGAAGGCCAGGGTTCGTTCCTTTGCCTCGACGGGGCGCCCTGCCGCGCGCGCCGCGGGGGAGTGCCGGCGGTGCTTTCGCGCGCTTCACCGAGCGCGTTCCACTGCTCGCAAAGTGCCTACTCGCAAACGTCTGAAAAAACATATCTTTGTCTCGGCGAAATTTGCCGTAGATCCCCCGCGGCGTGTCCAGGCCATTTGCGAGTAGTCACCTTGCGAGTCGTGGGTCGCGCTCGTCTATAGCGCCGTGGTCCGCGGCGGGGCCCGAGGCCGCGGGCCTGTAGGCCTCGAAGCGCGGGCGGCCTGGGGCCGGGCTCGGGGCGGCACGGCGGCACCCCGCACAGCGAGCAGCGGCGAAGCGTCCCGGCATGCCTGCAGGGCCACCAGGGAGAGTGTTCCAGGAGCGTGCCGTGCGGACCTCGAAGAAGAACAAAAACGCCATAAGCATAAACTTTTGGCGCTCCGCGCGGATTTCTCTTGGATCCGCGCTGGGCCCCCCCGGGCGGCGCCTCCGGCGCCACGACTGGCGCGCTCCGCGCGCCAGGGAGGGGGTTCCAGCGCGGATCCAAGAAAAATCCGCGCGGAGAGCCAAAAGTTTACGTTAATGGCGTTTTTTTCCTTCTTCTAAGTCAGCACGAAATGTTCTGAGAGCACCTCTGGTTGAGACTGTCTTGTTTCAGCACATCGGGGTCATTGTTCTGAGAACGCTTTGTTTTGTTGTTCGAACATTGGTGGGTTCTGAGACAATTTCGTAGTGGGCCCATAGGAATGTCGGGACGGTCGGCCCCTTCTCAAGCCCAGAATCGAGCGGGTGGTAATGGGGGCGACCTGAACTCGGCATCGTTCGGACCTGTGCATCGTTCCTCGGCGAGGGCCGTCCAGGAGCCTCCTGGACCATCGGGCAAGCGGAAGTAACACGCACGACACCGAGCAGATGCGCGGGGAGTGGGCGTCCGAGCGACGGCACGTGAACGGCCTTCGAGGGCCGACGGGCGCGGTGCTGCGTGCCGCCGGGGGGATGGGCGTGAACCCAGGAGGCTACGAAGCCTCTGCTGCGCCTCACGGGGTGGAGATCGATCGGGGGTATGTGGGCGACCGCACGCTCGCGATGGTCCAGGGGGGCAGAAAGAGTCCGAAGTAGTCGGATCCAAGGCGCGGCTGCCAGCGAGGAGCCCCCCCGGGCAGTCCGGCGGCCCCGCGCGTTCGAGCCCGCCGTCAACGTCGCCGGGCCACTTCGGAGAGAGGAGCGTCGTCGGCGCAGCTCTGGGGCTCGCGGGAGCGGTCGCTAGGGCCTCCCCCCCGCGCGGGCGGCTGACTCTGCGCGAGAACCAGCGAGGTGTGACTGCTCTGCGCCAGCGGCGCGGGGGAGCGAGGGTTAGGTCGGGCCTGTCCCCCTGCAGGTGGATTTTGGGCGAAAACTTAAAATACTAAAACATTAGTCCCCAAATGTTCATCCAAAAATTCATTAGTCCCCTGTAGGGGGACACGCCCGACTTCAAAAGCGAGGGGCGCCGGGCCGTCGGCTTCGCCACCGCCCCCGGCGCGAGCCCTAACTCGCCGGCGGGGAGACAGGGCGACCTCCAGAGCACGCGAGCGCCCATGCCCAGCAAGGCGCGGGGATGGCCGAAGCCTCTGGAGGACCTTGGGTCCCAGACCTCCTCGAGTCGTCAAAGAATCATGACGTTTTTTTCTATATTGCTAAGGCCTTAGGGCCAGTGCCGCCGACCCTGGATACCTCGGCCCTCGAGGGTGACAGGATGCGTGATAAGACGTCGGAGGTCAATGAAGACGTGGCGGAGGAGGAGGAGGAGAAGGAGGAAGGGGAGCAGGAGGAGAAGGAGGAGAAGGAGGAGGAGGGGAGGAGGAGGAGGGAGGGAGGGAGGGAGGGCGGAAGGGAGGGGAGGGAGGGAGGAGGGAGGGAGGGAGGGATCTTTGCTGTGAGGAGGAGGAGGAGGAGGGGAGGCGGAGGAGGAGGAGGCGGAGGAGGAGGAGCGAAGTAGGAGGAGAAGGAGGGAAGGGGAGGAGGAGGAGGAAAGAGGAAGGAGGAGAGGAGGGGAGGAGGAGGAGGAGGAGGAGGAGGAGGGGGAGGGGGAGGGGGAAGAAGGAGGAGCAGGAGGGGAGAGGGGCGCCCGGGTGGATGCGTATCTGCCCCCCCCCCCCCCCCCCCCCTGTGGGGAGGGTAGGGAGGGGCTTCGCCACGACTACGATGTCTTCGCCACGACTACGATGTCTTTCTGTTTCGTGTTTGATTTTCTTTTATTCGTGGGGCGTCTTGAAAACGCCTTGGGCCGTCTGGAGGCTACTTGGGCGTCTTGGACCGATGGTTCGGCGATTCGGCACCCTCTGGGACCGCCTGGGCGGCTTCTTGGGGCACTCTTGGCCCGTGGATCCGCACCGCGGGTCGGACGCGAGCCTCCAGAGCGACCATATAGTACTAATATGTCTTCGTGCGTCCCAACACGGTGTCGAGCTCGCCTCTCTTTCCTCCCCGTCCCACGGCCCCCCCCCCCGTCCCCTTCCCCACCCTCCTCCTCCTCTTCCTCCTCCTCCTCCTCCTCCTCCTCCTCCTCCTCCATCCTCTCTCGCGTCCCCATGCTGCTGCGACTCCTCCTCGTCGCGCCGCACGGGCTCCGATCACTGAGCCGCAGCGCCTGTCCGCCTCCTCCACCCCTCCTCCCCCTCCCCACCTCTCGCCTGCGTCGCCGGCTGCTTCCTCGCCGGCCGCGCCTCGGGGCCTCGGGAGCGGGCGCAGATACACAGCAGGGCCGACAGCGCGTCCATGAACAGGGCTGGCATCTGCCCCGTGGGCCACACGCTGAAGGCGCCCCACTCGGCCACGTCGTCAGGAGGAGGAGGAGGAGGAGGAGGAGGAGGAGGAGGATGAGGAGGAGGAGGAGGAGGAGGAGGAGGAGGAGGAGGAAGAGGAGGATTGTGCTAGGATTGTGCTACTTAGGACTTACGCAGATGGAGAGCACCACGCAAGCCGCCTTCGCCGTGTAAGTTATTACTTACAAGGGCTTCCCTGTGGATGGATGGCGGCCCTCCCACAAACGCGTCAGTCGACCCTTGGCCGTCCGAGCTCGTGCGGGCTTGCAGCCCTCCTTCACTAGGTTCGTCCACTTACACTGAGCGTAGGAAGCGCATCGCCTGCAGAAAACAAATTTGGGGCGAAACACAAGGTGGTGCCCTAGCCCCTGTGCCTTGAGAATGCGTGCTTGTCGGGCTTCGAATTCGACAGATTCTGCCCCCGACGGCCCGCTCTGAGTCTGGTTAGGGACCCTGGGATCTTCCTGGTCCCTGGGGCCCACAGACGGGGAAGGGGGAGGCATCAGAGGAGGAGCAGGATACGACTCGGCGGCCTGGCTCGGGGCTGGTCCTCTGATGCTGCTCGGTTCGACATCGGTAATCGTATCGACGACGTCGGACGACATTGCGCCGAGCCTAACAGCAAATTCTAGGGCATTTGCTACCATGCTATACTTCTTCTGACATGCCTGACGCTGCCAGAAAGGGTGCGCACACAACTTAGCCCCCTTCTTGACGTATTCATCCGCGAAGCGGTTGCCTCTGAACAGTCTCTCGCCTATCTCTCGCCGCTGGGCTCGAGTGGCGTGGGCCTTTATTTTTAATATCTGGATGGTCCTGGGGCCCAGCCCTCCAAGATCGTTCACCAGAAACCAAAACTCTCGCCAGAGATCACTGTGAGCCCTGGCAGGTGACGTGCACCACTCCTCCCATCTGGAAGTTCCGTCTACTACAGCCTGACAGTCACAATAGATTTTGAGGGGCGGCATCGCGCACCTCAGCACCTGAAGGATGGCGTACAGTTCGGACGGGTATATCCCTTGCCGATTTTGTGGCAGGGGGAGGGGGGCCGAACGCTGAGAAAGCAAGGCTCTCCCCCGAGGCATCGAGGGTGGCGAAGCTCCACCCCGCACGCCGAAGAGGAATGAATTCACCGTACAAGAGAGCCCCATCTGTGAAAACCTCTCCTGTGATGGCTCCTGGATGTTCGCCTTCATGCTGGACCTCGAACGAGACTGGCAGAACATCCAGGAGTTATACTGGGTCCTCGGAGATACCTCTGGCCCAGAGTGACTGGAAGCCTGGGAACGGGCTTGCTCCTCTGTGCTGCACGTGCCTGCCACCTACACGCCTGCGCATCGCATCACGCGCGCTACAAACATACGTGCGGTGCAAGTCCGTTCCTACAGCACTCATGCATGCCTGGCACTGGTCGGTCGTCGCACGACCAGCCTTAACTATTCTCTGTTGGGGCCACGTGCCTCCCGCAAACAAGGTTCGGGCCCGCGCGCGGTGCTCTGCAGTCCACTTTTCAGACAGGGGCCTGCGGAGCAACATTCTAATCGGTTCCAGAAAGACGCTCTTAGAGACATTCACCTCGGGACCCCAACGCGCAAGCCAACCGCTCTGAAGCCCACAATGTGTGGCCTGGCGCACGAGGGAGTGGAGGTAGTACAAATCAATATGAGCCAAATCATGCACCTCTGTCCCGCATGTGACTGTAGCTGGACTCTGGGTGCTCCAACCGAGGCGAATTACAGTTGCAATGAAAGCGCCTGCTGGTCCTCTCACTAGGCCCCACGGCCTCGGATGCCCGTGGAGTCGCATGACCCACGTGCGCCAGCTCGCCACCAGGAGGTCCCGCGTGGCCATGTCCGTCGCCTCCTGCCACGCCCTGGCCCACTCCACGACGGGCCCCGCGTTGGCTACCACGGCTGGGTCCGCGCCCTCCGCCAGCAGCACCAGCGCGGCCGACCTTCCCTTGTTGCGTCCAGGGAAGGCCGCTGCCACAGTCTGCCTGAGCGTGGTGATCAGCGCGCCCGTGGCGCCCTGCACGCGCGCGCCGTAGAGCTCCGACGGCGCGATCCCGAGCCTGACCACCTTCTGCGCTGCACTTCCTGCGGCCTTGACCCGCTGGATCTTCCAGCTCCTGGCCTTGGCCTTGATGATCCTCTTGGACTGGGCTCCGGCACGTCGTCGCCGCGCAGCTGATTGGGTCACGCCCAAGTGCGCGGCTTCACGCACCACCTGAATGCCCATCTGCGTGTTCTGGCTGCCTAGCTGCCGCTCCACCTTGCCATGCGAGACTGCGACTACGGTCTTGCCGCCCCTGCCTCTCGAGACCTGCAGCTTGAGCACCTGCTCGAGAGCGAAGACGATCTCGTCAGTCAGCTTCATGTGGAGCGCTGCCACGGCGGTCACGTCGCCCCTGGTCGACGCCGCGAGGTCGTCGAAGTAGAGGCACATGTCGGCCCTCGGGTTCGCTATATAGAGGTCGTCGATAGCGCCGATGAGCACGAGGGACAAACACAATGGGCCGAACACGGGTCCTGCCACGACCCCTTGCGCCCAGAAGTTGCCCTCGGTGTAACACCCATTCAGCACCACTCTCCTCATCAAAGAAAATACTCTCAATATGACACGCAGCAAGGGCCTTGGGAATCCCCAGCGCAGGCCACCGCTCCAAATAAGAGAATGCAGCACGGTCTCGTAGCACTTCCTCAAGTCGTAATATGCGGTGGCGATGGCTTCGCCCTGCGCCAACGACCCTTCAGCTAGGAGGCCCTGCATCCAGGCCGCTCGTTCAGCGGACCTGCCCTTCACAGCCCAATCGTATGCTCGTGGGTTTCGGCTTTGCCATTTCTGGATCTCGGGCGCCTGACTTCTCCCATACTCGCACGAGCTCTGGTAGAAGCCCCAAATTCCCCATGCCGCCCTTGGGCTTGGGCTGAAGCCAAAAAATGATGCACTGCTGCGAGACGGGCCAGTCGGATCCGCGCTCGATGCAGTTCAGGATACTCGCCAGGCCTGCTAGGCCAACAGCTGGCCCTTGGGCCCACAGCCTGGGGGTGGACGTTGGACTCGCCCAGGCCCGTCTTGGGGGAGAAAGCCTTGCAGGCGTGCAGCACGTGGTGGCCGAGGATAGGCGGTAGCATGGGCTCGTCTACCGCAGGCGGCTCAAACCATGGCGCAGCCCAGTCCACCTGGTACCGCCATATGCTCTCCCACTCCTGCAACGCTGTGTTGGCGGCTGTCTGCGGGTCCATCATGGCGACGTGCTGGGGCGTCTCACCCGCTGTGACAGTCTGTGGAGGCTCACCGAGTCTGGGTTTTGCCTCCCTCGTATTCTGTGGTACCAAGGGCTCCCACGGGACCTTCGGCTTGGTCCACTTGTGCAGGGCCCCCGCGGACTTCTCGCTGTGGTTGCGAACCCATGCCCGCCAGGCCTTGGTGGCCTCCTTGACCTCGCCCCGCCTCGCCTCTTCAGCCTCTCTCGCCGCGGCCTGCTGCCAGTAATTGAGGTACTCCAGGCTCTCAGTCAGCTCCTGCTGCTCTTCCATGCATTCCAGGATGGTCTCGAGGACGTGGGGCCACGGGGTCTTCAGCTCCTTTCCATACTGGTGGACTTGTGCGAGGGCCCACTGCTGGGTCATCGCCTCCTTGATGGACTTGATGCGGCTCACCTCCTGGCCGCCTGCCTCGCGCGAGTCGCTGCTGAGGCTGTGGGCCAGGTCCCGCAGGATATTCGCCACCCATTATGTTGCCATAGTTCGCGCCGTCGGGGCTCCCTTGTCCCTGACCGTCGGGGGCGCTAGCTCTCGCATCTTGTAGACAGCCTTTTCGCCATGCCCACTGTGGGCCAGCAGCTCGTCGCCGTCAAAGCAGTGATATCTGTTCCAGTGCATCTCGTTAGGCGTGCATGAGATCGTGCCAGAAGGCGTTCAGAGTCTCGTGGTCGACACGCTCCCTACGGAGAGGACGTGGCCACTGCACTGGTGGGGTAGGGCACCCTGTTGGCACAGTCAAAGGCCACGGTGCCTTCTGTATGAGCTGGAGGGCCTGTGGCACAGGCGATCGGCGTCCTATCTTCATCATGATGGGCCTATGGGGCTTGGCCGCAAAAGACGTCATGACTTCCGCTCGAAGCCCATTCTCCAGCAAACTCTCCGAAACGATAAAGTAGTCCCTGACCGAGTAGTTGCCCGTACTTCCCCTGCACGTGCCTTCACTCCTGTCGTAGACCAGGTGCCCCTTCAGCTTGGCGATGATACCCGTGCTCATCAGCTCCTGAGGCTCCATGTTGAAGTCGCCGCCGAGCACCCGCGGTTGGCCTGCCACGGCCATGAGCGCCCCGAAGCGGCTGAGTATTGTGAGGTTGCGGTTCGTGGGCCCTTCTGCCACTCAGAGGTACACAGAGCCCACCGCGATGCCGTGCTTGCGGCATGTCTTGACGTAGCCCACAGAGTCTCCCTGGTGACTCCGTAGGCGAGGCGTCCCACTTCATCAGCTCGGGCAGGTAGGTAATCCCCATGCGGCTTGGCACCGCGATCATCACCCCCGCCCACATGCCTTGCTTGGTAGGCGCACTAGGCACCACTGCCGCCTTCCAGCCATATTTGATGAGCCTGGCCGACAGCAGCTCTACTTGTTTTGGCGCCAACTGTAACTCCTGGCCTAGGACGACTGGGGCCTCGACCTGGTAGCGCAGTTGGAGCAAAACCTTCTCGAACTGGTTCGCGGTGTTCGCATTGCATGTGATGAACACCTGCTTCTCTGCCCTGGTACTTGCACACTGCTCTGGTGGGTCACTAGGAACGCGACAGGCTCGATATCCGCATTGCAAAGTGGAAACTTTCAGCCATGTCAGCAATAATCGCATGCAACATCGGCCCATGCTTCTGGATCTCCTCATCCTTGACACCGGCCTGCTTGAGGGCTGTCGTGATCTCCTGGGGGCGTGCTTTAGCCTTGTGCTTGAGGACGTCCTCGCTCTGCTCCTCGGTGCCGATGCAAGCG